ATATTTGTCCTTTTGTGATTGACTTATTTCACTCAGCATAATGTCCTCCAAGTTCATCCACGTTATGCGGTGTTTTGCAGATTCTACATTATTTTTTAGTGTTGCATCATATTTCATTGTGTGTATGTACCATAGTTTGGTTATCCATTCCTCAGGTGATGGACACCTAGGTTGTTTCCACATAGGGATATTTTTATTAAAAAAAATCATTTCTGCTGAAACATTGTACAAAAATGTTGTATAGTTATGTTGGTGTCATCCCCTGACAGTGTCATCCAGTTCAGTCCACACACACACACACACACACACATACCCTCTAGTGAGGCCACTGGAAATTATCACAGCCAAGAACAGCCTAAGAAGGTGTGAAGAATAAATGCAATGTTACTATCTTGGATGAGATGCTGGAATAGAGAAAGGGCATTGGAAGGAAAACAAGTTATATCCAAACAATCTATTGAGTTTTATTGTTTTTTGTTGTTGTTGTTGTTGTTATGTGCTATTGAGTCAGACCCGACTCATAGTGACCCCTCCTTGGGTTTCTGAGGCAATATCAATATGGGAGTAGATTGCCCAACCTTCCTTCTGAGGAGTGGCTGTTGGGTTTGAACCGCCAGCCTTCTGGTTAGCAGTCAAGTACCTTAGGCACTTAGCTACCAGAGCTCCTACTTTTTGTTAGATGCCCTCAAGTCAACTCCGACTTATAGCGACCATGCATACAATAGAACGAAACACAGCCTGGTCCTGCACCATCCTCACAATTATTGCCAAGCTTGAGCCCATCATTGCAGCCACTGTGTCAGTCTATCTCAATGACAGTTTTCTCCTTTTTTGCTCTCTACTTTGCTAAGCATGGTATCCTTCTTCAGAAAATCCACTTCAGGAGTGCATGGAGGGATGGACACTGGGAAGAGTTAACTCTGGGGAGGAAGTGAGAGGGGAGCTGTTGCATTGTGGTAAACTGCAGTCAATGTCTGAAAAATTGACCAACGGAGATAAGAGGAAGTCTAGCTATTCTCATGTCTAAGGAGCATTCTGACTGTACTCCTTCCAAGATAAGTTTGTTCCGCTCTTCTGGCAGTCAATGGTATTTTCAGGATTCTTCACCAACAGCACAATTTAAATGCATCAACCCTTCTTCAGTCTTCCTTATTCATTATCCAGCTTTTACATATGAGGTGACTGAAAATACCATGACTTAGGTCAGATGCACCTTAGTATTCAAAGTGACATCTTTGCTCTTTAAAACTTTAAAGAGGTCTTTTGCAGTAGATTTGTCGAATGCAACGTGTCATCTATTTTGACTGCTGCTTCCATAGGCATTGATTGTGGATCCAATCTTTTCTCCATTTATCATGATAGTGCTTATTGGTCCAGTTGCGAGGATTTTTGTTTTCATTACACTGAGATGTAATCCATATTGAACGCTGTAGTCTTTGATCATCAGTAAATGCTTCAAGTCCTCTTCGCGTTCAGCAAGCAAGGTTGCTCATCTACATGTCTTAAGTTGTTAATAATAATATACCAGTCAATGTTGGCTACTTAGATGTGACAAATGTACCACAGTAATTTAATATGACAGGAACTTGATGTACCATCTCTGCAGCTTTTCTGTAAATCCCGTAAGAATTATAGTCTAGAAAACCCTGAGGCAGTTCTACTTTGTCACCTGGGGTTGCTGTGAGTTGAAAACCAAATTGGTAAGTTGTGGTTTTAAACGGGAACCCCAACAGTACTCATTCACAAGGTTGTTTTAAGAAATGACAGAGACCACAGGTTAAGTACAAGGCACAATGCTTTGCACATAAACGTCAGGTGTGGCTATTGTGCTTTTATGTAAATGGAAGCGAGAGTTCTGACAGTTATTTTCATCAGGATAAAGAAAGGAGAAACTGACGCAGTTCAGTCTCAATGTACTCAGCACACGGGCCCCCTGCCCGGCCCTTCCGCCATTACCAACCTCAAGTCAGATCGCGCGGGCACGCAGACCGCCCAAGCAAAGCGCGCAGGGACGCCGGCGTGGGGTGGGACAAAGGCCTCAGTTCCCACGCCGGCACGCCCGCGCCTCTAGCGTAGCTGGCTAGGCCCCCGGAAGTAGTGTGTCCCAGGGCACTTCAGGGCGGAAGCTGTGTACGGCGGGAGGCGGTGGCACTGCCCGGGAGGAGACGCTGCTGATGTTGCTAGACGACGCGCACGCGAACTAGTCCTCGTCACTTCCGCAGTCTGCTGTCTGCCCACTCCCCAGGCCGGAACCCAGGACCCCGGAGTAGAGGTGGGCGCAGAGTCGTCCTCCGAGGTGCAGGACAGCAGGTAACCCAGCAGTTGGAATCGGGGCCACGTCACCTGCGGGGAAGAACTCGAGCCGAAACGGGAAGATGGCTGCGGACAAGGCTGCAGGTGAGGTTTCCCGGTCCCGCGAGGTGAAGAGGCGGCACACGGGGAGGCAAGCAGACCCCCGCGGTGAGGCGTGGGGTCCTGGAGTGGAGACTTGGAAATGGAAGTTGCAGGCGATTCTAATTTGGGCATGCATTTCCCTTCCTCATCCCTTCCCTTGACCGTCGCTAACAGGAGTCTTTGGAGTACAGGTCTGGTAGATTTTTATTTAAGTACAGCATGCAGGCGCTTCTGACTGTCTTTGCACTGCTCTTTACCTATGTCGGGCCTCAAAAGCTTAGATTTATTGTACCGCTTCACAGATTTTCGACATCCCTATGGCAAAAGCAGGAGCTCTGGTACCATAGTGTCTAAGGCACTTGACTGCTAAGTAGAAGGCTGGCGGTTCAAACCCATCAGCCACTCCTCGGAAGGAAGGTTGGGCAGTCTATATACTTCCTTAGTGATAACGCCTTGGAAACCCAAAGAAGGGTCGCTATGAGTCGAGTACGACTCCATGGCACATAACAACAACATGGCAAAAGCAGAACAAGGGAAGTTCACGTCGTCGTGGCATACAATGCCTTAATGACCCTTACCTTTAGGCTGATAATTATCTGAGCTGTTTCTGCTACATCAGGTTGCCCCTAGTCAGCGACTTTCTGTGAAATTAACTGTAGAAACTATTAAGTAGGTGTTCTGGTTTCCTAGTGCTGCTCTGACAAGAATATACCACAAATGGGATGGCTTTAACAAACAGGAGTTTATTCTCTTACAGTTCAGGAAGCTAGAAGTCCTAGTTCAAAGTGCCAGGCTCTAGGGGGGTGAAAGCCTCTCAACCTTAGGGTCCAGCTCTGCCTCCTGCTCTTGGCCCACTGGAGCTAGAGGCGTTTCTTCACTCAGACAGCTGCTGGCTGCTGAGGCTGAGAAACCCAAGGTTGACAAGTAAAAAGGCACAGTCCTGATGTTACCAAACCACATGGCAGGCTATTAATTTATAAGTCCATTTTAAGTCTCAAGGTTGGCAGAGCATGGCAGGCTGCTGAACAATGACATGACTACATGCAGGGTCCAGCCGTGCCATATGCTAGAGACCGTTTCCAAAGCTGCTGCTTATATACGGGAAGCAGACCACATACCCAAAGGCAGCTACTCAGCTGCTTGTGGTAGAGCGCACCATGGAGCTGATTGCCAGTCTCATCATGGAGAATGACTACCCCCAGCTGCCCAGCCACTCAACCAGGCCCAGCCAAGTTGACAAACAAACATAACTATCACAGTAGGTTTAAAATTACAGGGTCTCACTGCTATCAGTGCTCCCTCATATCTTGCATTTAGAACCTTAAGATTCCTCAGATTACTCAAGGTTAACTAGTTAATCTGGTTTTCTTTATGGAGTACAGTTCTCATTTGTGGAATCTTCCCCATTAAGGAAAAAAAAAAATTCTTTCCTGCCTACCTCTGGGAAAATCTGGCTAATATGGTTCCTGCAAAAACTTATGTTCTCTGTGGCATCCAGGTTTTATTGGAAGGAAGTTAAGTAGCAGGATTTGGAAGTGGTTGAGGCTTACAGTGACATTAGTGTGGTTTTTATTTATTTATTTTTTTTAACAGTGACATGAGTTTAGAAGGAAAAAAAGCAAAATCTCAGTGTGCTGTAAAATTTAGTAAGCCCTGATCTCAATAACAGGGGCTCTGGTGGCACTGTGGTTAAAGCATTGGGCTGTTGACCTGAAGGTCAGCAGTTTGAACCCACTAGTCGCTCCATGGGAGAAAGATGAAGAGGTCTGCTTCTAGCAGTTCTTCTATGTCCTGTAGATTGTTGTGAATCAGAATCAACTCCATGGCACTGGGTTTGGTTTGGTTTGGCTCTCAATAACTGACAAATGAATTTTGATTCAAAATTAAAGGAAGCTGATTCTAATGCAGATACAGATGAATAAAATTATTAGAGGAGCTCTAATGTTTCTGCTAAGAGATTTAGAAAGTGAGAATAAGAGAGTGTCCTGTAGAATTTTAGATAGATTGGTCAGAGAAGACCTCCGGTGAGGTGATATTTGAGCAGAGACCTGAGTGAGTGAAGGATTAAACCATATGGAATGGCCAGGACACAGGTAGGATGAGTGTCCAAAGCAGAAAACAAGTATGGCCTGCCCAAAGCTGGATAAGGAAGCTAGCGTCTTCGTACAAAGGAAGTGGCCATGATAGCATTTGAACTCCTCTAGCTTTACAGGAAGAGCTCTGGTGGTGTAGTGCCTAAGGCATTTGACTGCTAACCAGAAAGCTGGCAGTTCAAAGCCACCAGCCACTCCTCAGAGGAAAGGTTGGGCAATCTGGCTAATATGGTTACATAAGGATAACTGCCTCGGAAACCCAAGGAAGGCTTTCTGAGTTGGATCCGACTCGACGGCAGTGAGTTTGGTTTTGGTTTGGAGATTCACAAGGAGAGAGAATCACCATCAACATCAGCAGCCCAAGGGTGATTCCTATGAGGTGGGGGTCATACATGCCACCACCCTCAAACTTTTTTTTTTTTTTTTTACCAACTCTGACACCAATTACCCTCTCCACAGCACTCTCTATTTCTATGCTGGGTTGGGTAATTCATTACAGTGGCCACATAGAACTCACACAGTACTTACAGGGTTTATTTATGGGGTTTATTAGGGAAGTAGCAGGTTACAATTCAGGATCAGAAACAGGTGAGGATACAGTTCTTCAGTCAGAACAGCTTCTTCTCAGGTGTTGTAGGCATGCTTCTCTTTGGCCCTGGGTTTCTGCCCTGCTTGGGCCAATGTTACAAAGTTCTTTTAGTTTTGCCAATAGGTACCCAAAAAGGCCCCCCATTCTGCCATCAAGCCTCCTGCCTGAAAATACTCAGCTTTCTCGCTCTCTGGGTTGGCACGCCTGCTGCTGCATCTCATGCCAGTTTCTTGGTTTTGCTGCTTCTGCTGCCACCATCTCTTTGAAATCTCTCTGCCATCATCTTACCACAGGGATCTTGGGTCCAAAGACATGCTACATTCCTGGCTCTTCTTCTGCCTTGATGATAGTGAGATCTCTCCTTTTTATCTCTTGGATGGCTCATTTTAAGCCTAGGGGAATTGTAAAACTGGCCATTCCCCACATTAGGGTTCTGCGGTGTAGTAAATTACTTAGTGTGTCCTTTCTACCCATCAGTCTTTGTAAACTCTGAGGTAGAATTTGCCGTGGGCAACTGAGGAGCTCCTGATTGCTAAAGTGGGGTATTTCTGTTGGGAGTGGCACTAAACAGTGTTCTGGGAGGGTCCCGCTCTCTCTTAGGTGCTTAGAATTCTGATGTTATGATTGGTTGGTTTGGCCACTCTGCCGGGCTCAAAAGGAGGCCTCCTAGGGGCAGAAGTCTCTCTCTGACTGCTGGTGGAGGAAGATGTGCTGCTGAAAGAGACAGGCGCTCCTGAGAGACATGTGCTGCTGGGAAAGAGACGCAAGAGACACGCATTGCTGAGTGAGACACCAAGGGACACGCACTGGGAGAGAGACTGTGAGAGACTGTTGGCTGAGAGACTGTGGGCTGGGTGAGAGACTGAGCGTTTCTCCTGAACTTGAATTGTAGCCTGGTGCTTCCCTAATAAACCCCATAACCTGTGAAATCTGTGTGGCCACTGCAGTGAATTACCGAACCCAGGAGAAAGGTGGTGGCTGCTTTGGGAGGAACGGTTGGTGAAAGGGCTAGAGGGAGGCAGCACGTCTGGCCTTGCAGAAATAGGCCTTGGGTTACTAATAGTGATTCTGTATTCCTTTTGTGGGGTGGAGGAGGTCAGAAGATGTGGCCTCCTTGCCCTTTTTGCAGGTTCCATATACCTTATTCACATGGTCCCACTCCCTTCAAGGGTGCCATGTACTTTATTTACATTATTAACAAACTATTCAGTCCCCTTGGTGGGTTACAAGCACGTTACGTTTGTATAGTCCCACCCAGTGATTTGGTGGGCGTCACAAAGACCATGGCTAGAAGAGCCAAGCTAAATAATTCACTGTACCACTATCTTCCTTCTTTATTTAGGACAGTGACTCTGTTCCCCAAGTTTACAATTTCTATTTGGCTGTACTATTGCACCTGCCTGGAATGACCTCTTTAAGCCAAAAGCCCATCTGGTTTTCAAGTCCTTCCTCAGTAAACCTTCTACTTTCCTCTACTTCTTATCCATTCATTAATTCACAAATATTGAGTATTGGGCATTGCCATGTTGTTGGTAGATGCCATCAAGTTGGTTCCTGCTCATAGCGACGATCCTATGTACAGCAGAACAAAATGTTGCCTGGTCTTGCCATTCTCACAGTCGTTGCTGTGTTTAAGCACAATGTTGCAGCCACTGTGTCAATCCATCTTTTTGAGGTCTTTATCTTTTTCAATGACTCTCTACTGACTGGAAAGCTGTCAGTTCAAACCCACCAGCCACTCCTCAGAAGGAAGATTGGGCAATCTACTTCCATAGTGATACCACTTTGGAAACCCAAGGAGAGGTCGTTATGAGTCATATCTGGCTCGAAGGCAGTGAGTTTGAGGCTACTTTACCAAATAAGATATCTTTATCCAAGGATTGGTGCCTCCTGATAATATGTCCAAAGTAAGTAAAAAGAAGTCTTACCATCCTCACTTCTAAGGAGAATTCTGTTTTTACTTCTTCCAAGACAGATTTGGTTTTTCTTCTGGCAGTCCATGGTATATAGTCATATAGTTAACACCCACAGTACATTCTGTGAAATGGGACATTATGTGATTTGGATGTTGTGTGAATACCATATTATCATAGTCTGGTCCTGATTTTTCTTTAAGCATATTGAACAAGTTTTATCCCTTAGCAGTGATTGTCAACATGCTAAGAGGAATTTGCTTTTGTGTTTCATCCTGAATCCCCGTAATTAGCTATTTCTCCATATTTGATATAGGTCCCTCTTGCATTTTTATTAGCCTTGTAGCTTTCAGTGGAGCCAATCCTATAACAGCTTGGGGAATTTTTTCACTGTTTTTGAGTATTGTC